TCCTGCACGGCGTTCAGGTCGTCCCACGAGGCCTCCCAGATCATCCTCAGACAGCAGCGGCCCCCAAGAGGGCCCCGAGACGTTTGAAGAGGGCCCAAGACGGCGCAAGAAACGCCCAGGACGGCCCAAGAAGGCTTACAGATGGCCCTCAGGAGGGTCCAAGAGGGAGAACTCGAATTGATTTCGAGCCCTCCGCCCCAACTGGGCCCCAACTGGGCAAGCCCCCCAGAAGCCCCAAGAGGCACCCAGAAACCCAAAACGGGCACCCAATGGGCTCCCGGGAGGCCCCAGGAGGCCTCTTGACAGGCCGCAGCAGCTCTGACTTCGAAATTCACAAACGACCGCGCGTCACAGACGTCTCAACCCGAACATATACAGAATCGAGGAATCAATTAGTACGACGACGGTCAGATGTTCTCTCTATAGTGTGCATATGTGTGTGTGTATATATATGTGCGATAATGCATATATGTATACAGGCGTGCCTGTCCGTGATGTTGAAAGCATCTGTGGAACCTCAGCGAAGCATAGGCATTGTTCAAAGGAGGCCCGTGGCAGTCCAGCAAACACAGGCCCTTCGCGAGTGAGTGCCCAGCGCGGGGCGGCCCAACAAGCACGTCCCTCATACTCCTCATGGGGCGGCTTCTCCGTGGGGTGCCGAAAGTGACGCCTCGCCTGAAACATCATCACAATATGTTCGAGACCTGAGTGCGAATAACTCCTGAGTTCTAGGTGGTGTGCTGAGTGTGAGCCTGAGTATGGATGAGTCTGAGTGTGGATGTCCGCACAAAAATATACACATACACCCTGGAATGAAGTGTTCCTAGGCCCCAGGGGAAGGTGACCATGTGTAAATCACAACTGAGAGCCAGCACGCGCATGTATCTATACATATATACATATATTAGCATACGTACCTCTCCGAGGGAGTATAGCTCAGAGGCGATTAATTCTCACACGCACCTCTCCGAGAGAGTAGAGCTCAGAGGCGATGAATTGCAGGCCGCGCCGCGTCCGCGATTTTTCTGGCCGTTTCGCTACGGGCATCCTCGGAATTCTGAAAATCGGTGGCACCCCTTACACAGATCGTGACGTCAGGGTCCAAAAACACATGGAATTTCAACATTCTAACATACAACCTTCAAAAACACTATGTCATTTGAATGATCTTGAGCGCGATTCTCAAATAGCGGCTGTTTCGCCTGAGACTTCCTCCGAAAATCGAGCCCCGACGTACCTGTGGTACCCCAGACCCCGCCTCGGAGCCTCCTGGGGGCTTCCTGGAACCTCCTTGGGCCTCCTTGGGCCTGCGGTCTCTTGGTCGGGCCTCCTGGAGCCTCTTGCGGCCTCCATGGACATCCTCGAAACTTCGAGCCCAGACGTACTCTCCTTCGGCCTCCTGGAGCCTCATGCGGCCTCCTGGTCGGGCCTCCTGAGGCCTCCATGGACACCCTCGCAACCTCGATCCCAGACTGGCCTTCCTGGGGCCTCCTGGAATACTTTCCGGCATCTTGGTCGGGCCTCCGGACGCTTCATAGGGGGCCCGTGGTACACACATCGCAAGATGTGGCAACCCCGGAGGTGCCCTGCCCCACGGAGGTCCGGCTACTTTTGCCACCCTCGCAAGTCTCCGAGTTCCGAGACGGATGACGCCCACCCGACAGGACCTGCACCGCAGGGCCCAGACACCCGCCGAAGACAAGGAGTTCAAGCGCTACCCCGACGCCCAGCACGCGCTCCTGGCGGAGGCGCAGCCGCTGCGGGGCGAGATCGAGGCGGACGTCGCGGCGTGGGTCCGGGGCCGCCTGGGCCGGCCCGCCCTCTCGCAGGAGAGCGCCTAGAGCTGGCGGCGAGCAGACCGGCGGCGAGCCCAGGGGGGAAGTGAGAGGGGGCGGGCTTTTTCAGGAGGCTCGGGAGGCCTCTGGCCTTCTGAGAAGTGTCCTGAGCCTTCTCCGGAGACAGGGGCGGCTTCTCAGAGGGCGCCAGGGCTTCTGAGAGGCCCCGCCGCATGCTGAGACGGCCCGCCCCCTCCCACTGTCCCCCCGCGCTCGCCGCCAATCAGCAGCCGGAGCCCTGCGGGGTGCCGGGCGCGGCGCGCGGCGCGCGCGTTGTCCCGGCGGGGGCGCCGCCGCTGCCGGGGCGAGCCTGGGGCAGGCGTCACGGCGCGGATCCCCTCCTCTTCGATCCCCTCCTCCTCCTCCTCCTCCTCCTCCTCCTCGCTCCTCCTCCTCCTCCTCGCTCCTCCTCGCTCCTCGCTCCTCCTCCCTCGCTCCTCGCTCCTCCTCCTCCTCCTCCTCCTCCTCCTCCCTCCTCCGTCTCCTCCTCCTCTCTCTCTCCATCCTCCTCCTCTCTCCATCCTCCTCCTCTCTCCCATCCTCCTCCTCTCTCCATCCTCCTCCTCCTCCTCTCTCCTCCTCCTCCTCCTCCTCCTCCTCCTCCTCCTCCTCCTCCTCCTCCTCCTATTCCTCCTCCGTCTCCTCCTCACTTCCTCTTTTTCCTCCTCCTCCTCCTCCTATTTCTCCTCCGTCTCCTCCTCACTTCCTCTTCTTCCTCCTCCTCCTCCTTCTCCGCCTCCTCCGCCTCCTTCTCCTCCTCCTCCTCTTCCTCCTCCTCCGCCTCCTCCTCCGATCCTGGCGGTTCTCCTGCCACTTTGATGTTGTGCACGTCCTCTTCTTACTCCACTTCCACCTCCTCCTCCTCCGATCCTGGCCGTACTCCTGTCAGTATCGTCCAACCGATCCCCATCCTCATTGGGTCGGAGGTTGATAGACCTCCTACCCTGACGCGTTGATTAGCGACTTGGCCGTCCTCGGTTCGCTGGAAGGCGTCGCGGCCGTCATTGTTGCGGGTCCAGGTCCGTCGGTTTCGGTCCTGGGCCGTTTTCACCAAAGGGTGGTTTATTCCAGGGAGGTGTGTCCACCGCCGATGGGGAGAGGGCATATATCCCTCTCCCTCATCATCCCTCTCCCTCGCCACAGCCCCATCATCCCTCTCCCCAGTTTGGGGTATGACTTGCGAAACCCGAAGGGAATAGCATAGATTCCCATCCCCGGGGGCAAATCGGCCAGTGGCACGACGGTCGTCCCTCTCCCCCCCGGGCTGTTCCCAGCCAGTCCCTGCCGCCCAGCGCCTCAAGGAGGGTGGCGAGAGGCAAGCCGAAGAGAGCGCAAGAGGAGATCGGGTGTACCCCTTAGGCGATGCTTAAGAAAACTTAAGTTTTCGGCCAGAGTCTCGATTATTCTTAACGTTTCAATGTAAACCTGAAGATGTTAATAGGAATGCTGGGTTTTTATTCAAGTTCTGAGACGATGAATTTCTTAACTCATGATTTCTTAATCATTTCGCAGGGTGTACCCTTGGGTAGCTCAAAGTGGGTAATTCTGTATTCCCAGATTCAGAGCTACGTTAAGGGCCTTCCTACTTCAATGATCGAGTGGCTTCACCTTTTCCGTCATCGTCCTCAGGGGGCGGGCGGAGCCCAATATGGTTTCAAAGCCTTCTCATTTCATGCTTCTACCTACTTCTTCCGACCGATGGGTAACCCTAAGGTTTGAGTTCAGGGTCGGGTCGGCCTAACCTTGGCCTTCCCCTCATAGCCTGTACTGGTCCTCGCACCCCTGCTCGTCGAGTAGAATGGTGTACGCCAGGAGTGCGGTGACGCTTACCGGGCCGTCGCGAAGGGTGATGGCCCCCTCGAAGAGGGGCGGATTATTCTCCTGCCCCTGGGCGGGCTCTCCTGGGCGCAGTGCGCTCCTCCTCCGCCTTCCGTCCGCTCGCGTCGGCTTCTCCCGTGGCAGACGAGAGTGGGCGGACGTTCATGACTCCGCCGATGCGCGTGGCTCGTGACGATGCTGATGATCAGGATACAGGACGACGCTGGGGATAATGATGCTGACGCCGTTGATGGTAAGTGTGGCCTGCGGGAGCCGTGATCGTAGGCATGACGATGCCGATGCTGTTGCCGCGGATGCTGTTGACGATGATGCCAGCGACGTTCACGATGCCTTCGTCGTCCTCTATTTCGCGCCGAGCCATTTTAGGCTTTGTTGGTTTCTAGCCCTGACGTGGTTTAAGCGCGAGTCATGGATCATAAATCGTGCCCTTCCCCTTCCCCCTCGAGAGTTGACTATCCCCAGCCGAGGCAGGGTTGGTCGGGGGAGGGGCGGCAAGGCCGAACTTGATTATCGCGGGGGAAAGTTTCGAATCGAAGTTACGATCTTCATGTTGAGTAGCACCATTGAGGAGGAGTAGCTTTAGGCCTCTTACGAGAAAGACTGCGGGGAACATCCTCGTTGTCGTCGTCGTCGAAGTCGTCGTCTTGGTGCGACGGCGACGACGACTTCTCTGTCCCTCGTCTTACATCCCTCGTGCGGCTTGCCGAGACAAATCGTTTATTATCCCCCCGAGACCCGGAACTTCATTACATATCCCCCGGGTTTTGTTCTCAGGGCCATAGGGCTCCAAAACACCAATCGTGTACGTGCTGTACCACTGCCTTGATGCTATCGGTTGACTCTTGCTGGTGGACGTGGTTTCGAGTTTGCACGTCGTTCCGAAAACCTTGTAGTCGAAGCCCCTGCGACTACCCCTCCCGATCTTCGAGCTTCCCTCATCGTTGTCCTCCCCTGATATTTGGGTTTCCCTCATCGACGTTCGGCGCATTGACTGGTGGTCGGTGCGTATTGGCGTGGGAATTGTATCGTCATCGCCTTCGCCATCGACCCTGCTTTGCGATGATGGTCTGATTCATTTGTAACAGATAAGGATGGGAATTCTATCGCCATCGCCGTCGCCATCGATCCTGCACTGCGATGATGGTCTGATTGTGATGATCAGGGGGAGTTGGCAGTTGTCGTGATGGCAGCGCCACAATTCAGCTTATTGTTGACCGACTGTTAGTTGTGCCTTTGCTGTGGAAGACGGGGTGGATATATGACAGGAGGTGGAGTTGGAGAAAGAAGAGGTTGCGCGCGCGTGACCAAGCGAAAGTTGAAAGCCAGGTTAGTACGACCACCACGTCAACCACCACCCTCACTACAACAACCACGTCATCAACAACCTCGACGGTCGCGTGGGAAATAGCTGGCGAACACAGCAAATCGTTTGGGAGTGATGTTTTACGTATGTCACTCAGCTGGTGAAGTGATCAAGCGGGCAGTTTCTGAGTTCCCTTGTTGGGCAGTTTCCTTCGATCGCCTGCATGCCAATGCCCCGCTCCTTCCACCATCTCGGATCGTTGCGTGATCTCCGATCCTGAACCACACCTCCGGGTCGAATTTGGAGGTTACCGCGGTGATTGCGGCGGCCACAACTCGGGGCAAGTTTTTTGGCAAAGAGTGGCGTGCCCCTCCCCAGCCGCGCCCCCCCTGTGATGTAGACGCAGCTCATAGTTACCCAGAAATGAGCGACATGGAGACGTCAGTTTATGGCCAGCATGGGCAGTCATGTTTTTGGGGGTCAGGGGCCGATAATCGGGTGCTGACAGGAATGGGAACAAAAACACACAGACACACAGAATCGTAGGACGTGTGTGGGATGTGGAGGGGGATGCACAAATCCAGAACATATGTAAAAAGATCCGGGATCCTGGGATTTGTAATTGTTTAGTTGTGTGCCCCAGGGCCCATTTTGGGGAAACGTATGACTCGAGTACGCCAGAACTTGGGCTTGCCAACGATCTTTGCAGGGTCCGTCCTGGATGCCGGTCCAGTTTGCGTAGGCTGTGTGCAGCGGGAATTCGCGTCATATGGCAGGCTGGGTCAGAAATTGTCATGATGGCCCCGTCATGCCAACCCGAGTCCCCCGAACCCGAGTCTTTCGGCGGCGAGCCTCGGGGGGAAATGAGAAGGGGCGGGCCTTCTCAGAAGGCTCGGACATACCCCAGCCTTCAACATCTCAGAAGCCTTCCCCGCCGACTTATGAGAAGGCCTTCTCCTTCTCACTTCCCCCTCGCTCGCCGCCGAGTCTTATTCAGGAGGGGAGAAAACACACAGACACAATGAATCGTCGACTCCCAGGAAAATATGGGGAAAGACCTGAAGTGAAGGGGGGGAGAAGAAAAACCATAACTGTTCGGAACAGGAACCCTGAGAGTTGTGTATATTTCTTTGTGTGTCCCAGGGCCCCTTTAATCACTCCCTGACCCCCGATGTCATGATTGTTTCATGGCGTGGCCCCCCAGCTGTTTCGACCCATTCCCAAGGAGCGGTTTGTCCTCCCGAGTCTTTTTGTGGACGGTCCCGAGGCCCGGCGAGGGCTCCCAGAGGCTCCCGAGACCCGACGAGGGCCCGGCGAGGGCTCCCGAGGCCCGGCGAGCGCAAGGGGGTATGGGCTTGCGTCTCCCAAACCCTTCGGTTGCCCCGTTCCACTGGAGCCCCCAGGGCTGCTGGGCGATACCCGGAGACGGGGACGTGCGCCGGGGACGCCTCCCCTTAGATCGGCGGCGAGCGCGGGGGGGAGAGAATCACAGAGGATCTGCCGCTACACCCTGCCCTCGTCCACGCCTTTTGGGGCCTCCTCGGAGGCCCTCGTCGCCACCGCTGTGGAAAAAACGCACACAGACGTGTGTGTGTGTGTGTGTGTGCGTGCGTGTGTGTGTGTGTGTGTGTGTTTGCGCGTGTGTGTGCGTGTGTGTATATGTTTTCCACAGACGTGCGTGTGTGTATGTGTGTATATGATGTGTGTATATGTTTTCCACAGACGTGTGTGTGTGTGTGTGTGTGTTTGCGTGTGTGTGTGTGTGCGTGTTTGTGTGTGTGTGTGTTTTCCACCGTGTGCGTGTGTGTGTGTGTTGTTTTGTGTGTGTGTGTGTGTGTGTGTTTTCGTGTGTGTTTTCCCACAGGTTCGGCGCCACCTTTTGGGGCCTCCTGGTCCCCCCCCGGGGCTGCCGGGGGAGGCCCTGGAGGCCCTGGGGCGCTCCCCGAGCTCGGCTGGCTCCCCGTGGAGGCCCGGGGGGTGGGCGACCGAGAGTTCCCAGAGGGCAGTCGGGCGTGTCCCTCTGCAGGAGTTTTTCGGCTTGACCCAGGAGGGGGTCCAGCGACAAGGCGGTGGTGCAATGGATTTGGTGCAAGCGGTTTGTGGGGTTGCAGCACACTTGGGGCGTGCAACAACTCCTTCCGGGGCGCAAACGTATTGCTGGATTTTCGCGTGCAGCGCATGACTTGCAATGCAACGCAATACCATTCTCCAGTGCATTACATGTGCAAGACAATTGCCCCAAATGTATTGCACCACCCCCTTGTGGGTCACCCAAAATTCTCAGAGGTGATCAACAAACCCAGAGATCCAACGCATTGAAAAAAAGAAGGCGGAGTTTTTTCGCAAATTTCGGCCCCCAGGGGCCCTCGCTGGGCCTCGGGACAGTGGAAAAACAGCTCAGGATGAAAGACTTGTCCTTGGGAGTGGGTCGAGACATCCAGGGAGCCCGTATTGGAAACATAAAACACGACATCGGATCTTTGGGACAAGCGCTCTGGAGAAAATTTCTCTACTATTTCTGGACACGTTTCGATTCCTCCGGTTCGAGTCGATTTCGGTGGCTTCCGATTCCGATTCGGTTCGACTTCGGATTCCGATCTGGGCTCCGACTTTTCAATGGAGGTCTACTAAACTGCCGACTTCCGCCGATTCGACTTTTCCCGATTCGGCTGCCGACTTCGCCGATCCGATTATTTTCGGTCGCCGATCCGACTTCTCGATTCGATGTTGGCCCTCCCGCTACTTCCGATTATGTTTGAGCATCGTTTGGCATGTTTTCCTCTTTCTGTGGATTTTCTGAATATTTGTCCTTTTCCGTTTTATGTTTGAATCATTTTCAGCGTTTCTTCCAAGATCCGCCGGCGGGAGGGCATGCCCGATCTGGCCCCAGAGACGTCCCGTGGACGCTTCTCTTCTCAGATCGGCGACGAGCGAGGGGGAGGAATCACAGACCCAAAGATCTAACGCATTGAAAAAATCGAGGCGGATGAATTTGTCGCAGTTTTCGGCACCCAGGGGCCCTCGCCAGGCCCCAAGGCCGTCAAGAAATGACTCAGGATGAAAGACCAGTGCCGTGGAATGGGTCGAGACCTTTGGGGACCCCGTACAGTGGAGGCCCATGCCAAGAAACACCCTGCTTGCATGGGGTGCCCTGGGCTTCTTGGGTTTCGATGGTTTTGCGATGGGAAGCGTGACGTTCCCACACCAAAATCAATGGACGTCCTGGGGTCTCAGGGTTGGGTTTCTTGTGGAGGGTTTCTTGTGGTCGGGCCCCCAGTGCAATTCAAAAAATCACGACATCGGATCTCTGGAGAGCAGGCACCCCAGCCGCTGTCATGAGGGCAAACGGTTAAGACAATGCCCACACACACACACACCGTCCTGGGGGGCCCAAAATAAATGAGTATGGCAGATTAATAGAATTAAGCCGCCATAAACTGTTTTTTTTATCGTCTGCCCCCCAGCGTTTTATTTTGCTGCCTTGCGGAAGCTGATTTTCTATTCGTCTTCCTGTGTTCGTTTGATCACCCGCGGCCGCGGGAGGAGAATTGCGGAGAGGGGGCGCCGGAAGCGCCGCTAGGGAGTCCCAGCGCAGATCCAGGAAATCCACGGAGGACCGCCAAAATTTATGTTTATATAGATGTTTCATCCCCGACTTACGAACCAACCTGAGGACGGCCCAACTGTCGTCCTCGCGGACGGCGGTTGGAGTTTGAAAATGAGGCCAACGTTGCCGCGGGAGCTGCGTGTCGGAAGAACCGAACAAGTTCGGATTTAACTACATATATATATATATATGAGCAACTCACTCCCCCAATCTTCTGTGTAGAAACACAGCACACGGGAGGATTCGAACCGAGCGGAAGCTCGAAATTGAGGCCAGCGTTACAGCGGGAACAACATTGTGGAAGAGCCGAGCACGTTCCGATTGAAACAACAGATACGAGAAACGGATTCGCGCCAAACCTCTGTGCAACCAAAAGCAATACGCGGAGGGGCGCAGGCAATCTCCCGGAGTGCATCATGGGAGAGCGGGGAATCTTATTCATATTGAGCACTGTAGAGGAGCAGTAAGAGAAGGTGCCAAGGGATAGAAAAGCGATGGGAAGGAGCAGGAGGAGGAGGAGGAGGAGGAGGCGGAAGATAATAGGAGGAGGAGGAGGAGGAGGAGGAGGAGGAGACGGTGGTTAGGAGGTCGCTGCCAGAAGGCGGCGCAGAATGTCTGCCTTCCGTGGAGGACTGGCGGATCATAATTTTCTGCTGCGCATTCAGGGCTGGCCAAAATCAAATCTCGCGGCCTCGAATTGTCCGCCCCTGCGGATTCGAATCGTCATCCCGCGAGGTCTTTCTCAGCTTTTGCTTGCCTGGCTCTGAACTGACCCTCTGCCCCCCCGCCCTCAATTGTCAGCCCGCGCCCCCCCCCAGGGGCCTCATGACAATCCGGAATTGTCCGCCCTCGTCTGCCTGTCCCGCCCCCCACTATTTCATTGGCGCCAAGGGTCCTCGAAACAATGATTTAATCGTCCACCCCAAAAATTCCCAACCAACCTGTGTTGTTGGGTCCTCGTTTTGAAGAGACGGTCCCCGCGTTCTCCTCCTCCTCCTCCTCCTCCTCCTCCTCCTCCTCCTCCTCCTACTCTCCTATCCTCCTCCCCCTCCTCCCTCCTCCTTCCACCCCCCCTCTTCCATGCGCTTCAACCACCCAGTAAAGCGCTTCGTAGCCCCATAGGGGGCTAGCTCCACCGGAGGCCCCAGTGCCACCGTCCACATGCGCCCCCCCCACTCAGTACAGCGTTTCGTGACCCCATGGGGAGCTCCACCGAAGGCCCCAGTGCCACCGTCCACATGCGTCCCCCCCGATCAGTACAGCGTTTCGTGGCCCCATCGGGAGCTCCACCGAAGGCCCCAGTGCCACCGTCCACATGCGTCCCCCCCACTCAGTACAGCGCTTCGTGGCCCCAAAGGGAGCTCCACCGAAGGCCCCAGTGCCACCGTCCACATGCGCCCCCCCCCTCAGTACAGCGCTTCGTGGCCCCATAGGGAGCTCCACCGAAGGCCCCAGTGCCACCGTCCACATGCGTCCCCCCCA